GGGTCCGTGCCCCACAAAAAAACAATTGCCCCCGGTTGGGTGCCGGCAGGGGAATGTGCGGCTGCCCCAGGCTGGGCGCAGCGGTCCCATCCTCATCCTCCAGCCCCAGGCCACCGAGGGACATCCCCACCACCCCAGGGGAGTCCCAAAGGTGGGGCCATGGCCAACTGCTCTACCGGTTCCCCTCCCATCCCCCTTGCCCCTGCTGATGGCCCCCCTGCCCTGTCCCCGCAGGTCACCTCCTGCTTGACAGCCATAGCCAAGACGGATCCCGAGGCAGAGGTGCGAAGAGCCGCTGTGCATGTGGTGGTGGTGCTGCTGCGGGGGCTCAGCGAGAAGGCCACCGAGGTGAGTCACCTCCCCGCTTGTCCCCTGGGCAGGGGCAGCCTCTGCCAGGCTCCTGGGCATCCCCGGATACCCGGCACGGTGCTCCTCAGGGATGGCCCCTGCCCTGCAGGGCTCGTTCCCAGGCAGCTTCCAAGGAAAGCCCTGTGGGACAGGGACCTCCAGCTTGTCCCTCCCCCACCGAAGGGCTCCTTCAGCACCGGATCTTCTGTGGGGCAGAGGGGACTTCATGGGGGAATCCCTCTGAGCTGCTTGGCGGCTGTGCCAGCTCTTGGGAGCCATGGGAGTTGTTCATCACTGATTTGACTTGGAAATGCCCAGTTTTTCCAGCGGCCATGTCCTCCCTCTCCATTTCCCAGCAATGAGCGTGTTGGGACTCAGCTCCCATGGATGAACGGCTGGTTCCCCACAGGAATCCCTGCAGCGGGGATCTCGGCTTCCCCTTGTGTCCCCATGCCGGAGGGACGCCACAGTGCGCAGCTGTGCTGGACTGTGCTGCTGGCGTGTGAGGAAACTGAGTCACAGGAGGGCTGGAGCTCACGCCTGGGGCAGTGTGGTGGTGGTGGTGGTGCCGCCGTGTCCTGGCACCGGCAGCGTTGGTGGAAGGGGCAGCACCATGCCTGCCCGGGCATGCCGAGGGTTGCGTTTTCGGTTGTTGCGGGTGCAGGCAAGGTGCCGGCGGGTGCTGACGATTCTCCTGCCTGCTCTGCCCAGGTGCTAGGCCCTGCGGGCCCGCTCCCGCCTGCTGAAGCACGTGGTGGTGGCCGAGCCCGACGGTGCGACAGTGCTGCACGCCCAGCTGGCGCTGGAGGAGCTGGACACAGTGATGAGGAGGGTCCTATTCCCACCACAGACTCTGGAGAAGAAGATTGTGGTGCTGCCATAGTGGGGCCAAGGCGACAGAAACGAACTCTTGCTCCGGCATCTGGGCCACGCGGCTCCCCGAGGGGAAGGGTTTGCTGTGTCCCCGGGATGCCTCCAGCGGGTGACAGCCGGGGAGGAAAATGCAGGCTGGGCAGGGCGGGTGGCTGCAGCCAGTGCAGTGAGGGCTCACTGGGATGGAGCAGGGGATTAAACGGACATATGCTGAGCCCTGCGCCCGTCACATCTCTGGGAGCCACATGAAGCCCCCGGGTGCCATCCCGGCCATGTTCTGGCCTGTGGCTGGGCTGTGCTCACCCTCACACGCTTGGGGTTGGGGCAGCGGTGCGGGCTCTGGCGAGCCCCTGGGTCCCGTGGGAGGGTGGGCATCAGCCCCCAGGGCTGGCCCCGGCCTGGGGGAGCAGCCGATGGGGATGATGCGGTGGGGTCTCCTACAACCAAACAGCACCAGGTACCATGGCTGCCCCTGAGGGGAGCCGGGAGGGAGGGGAGGCTCTGCTGTCTGTCCCCCCAGTGTGGGCAGCCCAGGGGCTGGCAGGCTGCCTGGCTCTCCCTCAGCACCGTGCTCACACCGTGGGGATGCCGGGGGGTCCTGGGGATGCTGGGGGTGTCCTGGGGATGCTGGACGGGGTCCTGGGACTGCCAAGCTGGCTGGCAGCTACTGCACACTTGCACACTTGCTGCTGGGTGCCCATGGCCATGAAGGGAACCTTTCTGGGTGCCAGCGCCAGGCAAGGGATGGGGACAATCCCTGAAGGCAATAGCTGAACCAGCTTCTAAATGTGATCGTAGCCAAATCCGAGTGATTTTCCTTGGAGGGGGGGAAGGGAAATGGAGACAGCATTGCCGAACCACTGCCCTGCTGGCACTGTGGGGAGTGCTGGGAGTGGGGCTGCACTGGAGACCCATCCTCCTCCGCGATGCTGGTGGCAGCACAGTGCTGCCCACCCTGCGCCTATTCTTGGGGTCATCCTCGTTGCAGGGTTTGAGGCCCTTCCACCACAGCACCAGGAGCCCCCTCCATGCCAGGGCTGCAGTGTGTGCTGGGAGCATGGCCAGGGGCTGCAGGACCCTGCAGGGCACCTAGCTGGGACCACCGCTCGCTGCCGTGTGCTTGGGGACATCCCAGCATTGGGGTCACCCCTTTCCCTCACGCCAGGGCAGACCCCATGGGTGCTGCGGCATCGTGGGCCCCACTCCTGCCCTGGGATCTGCTGTGTACCCACCAGGAGAGAGGAGCAGGGCTGGGGACGTGGGTGCTGCAGGGTGACACCAGAGGGACACCTTGGGGACCCAGCTCTGAGCCCCTCTCACTGGGCAGCCCCCTCACAACAGACAGCCCTGGTGTGGCTGTGCATGGCTGCAGGTACGTGTGTCCCGGCTGCCCCGCGCTGTGCCAGATGGGGTGAGGGGCCTGGCACCCCCCTTCCCTGTAAGGCTGGGGGTGCCAGACTGTGTCTCCACCCCCAGCAAAACCGCCAGCGCCAGGCCCACACCTTGCCGCGCCCTGCCGTGCCGGG